ACCGCCGGGGCCCCGCCGTGCGACACAGCCCGCAGCGCGCTTCCCGGAGCTGTCTCCCAACCCCCCAGCGGGCGAGCGTACCTGGCAGCTCTGACAGCACTCCCCGTGGGCACACTGGGCTCCGGCCTTCAGCGTGCAGTTGTGTGCGTTGCAACAGGGGTTGGTGCACTCCTGCATGGGGAGAGCCAGCCACAGCGATCAGCTGGCTCCTTGGCCTTCCTCAAGCTGATCCTCGTCACCCCCCACCCCAGGGCTGGCTCCTGGGGCTCCCTGTCCCCCCACCCCAGGAGCTCGTCCGTCGTCCCGAGGGCCTGAGACACTTCATGGAGGAAGTCAGCCTCATTACCCCCATTTTACAGATGGGGAAAACGAGGCACGGGGTGGGGCGCAACTTGCCCTACCAAGTGAGTGGCAGGATCTCTCTGGGCCCAGACCTTGTCCCAGCTCACACGGATGTCTCACTGACCACACATCACGGGGTAGCACCCACGGGCCCTGTCAGGATCGGGCCCACCCGCGCCAGGTGCTGCACAAAACACACTATGGTGCTCAGAGTCCCAGAGTGCAACCTAAAGCCCACTGAACTGAACGCCATTTGGATCAGTCCCCTTCTGTCCCGTTCCCTCCCCTGCCCTGCCTAGGCCAATGCCCTCCCCCCGGAACCTCCTCCATTTGGATCAGTCCCCTTCTGTCCCGTTCCCTCCCCTGCCCTGCCTAGGCCAATGCCCTCCCCCCGGAACCTCCTCCATTTGGATCAGTCCCCTTCTGTCCCGTTCCCTCCCCTGCCCTGCCTAGGCCAATGCCCTCCCCCCGGAACCTCCTCCATTTGGATCAGTCCCCTTCTGTCCCGTTCCCTCCCCTGCCCTGCCTAGGCCAATGCCCTCCCCCCGGAACCTCCTCCATTTGGATCAGTCCCCTTCTGTCCCGTTCCCTCCCCTGCCCTGCCTAGGCCAATGCCCTCCCCCCGGAACCTCCTCCATTTGGATCAGTCCCCTTCTGTCCCGTTCCCTCCCCTGCCCTGCCTAGGCCAATGCCCTCCCCCCGGAACCTCCTCCATTTGGATCAGTCCCCTTCTGTCCCGTTCCCTCCCCTGCCCTGCCTAGGCCAATGCCCTCCCCCCGGAACCTCCTCCATTTGGATCAGTCCCCTTCTGTCCCGTTCCCTCCCCTGCCCTGCCTAGGCCAATGCCCTCCCCCCGGAACCTCCTCCATTTGGATCAGTCCCCTTCTGTCCCGTTCCCTCCCCTGCCCTGCCTAGGCCAATGCCCTCCCCCCGGAACCTCCTCCATTTGGATCAGTCCCCTTCTGTCCCGTTCCCTCCCCTGCCCTGCCTAGGCCAATGCCCTCCCCCCGGAACCTCCTCCATTTGGATCAGTCCCCTTCTGTCCCGTTCCCTCCCCTGCCCTGCCTAGGCCAATGCCCTCCCCCCGGAACCTCCTCCATTTGGATCAGTCCCCTTCTGTCCCGTTCCCTCCCCTGCCCTGCCTAGGCCAATGCCCTCCCCCCGGAACCTCCTCCATTTGGATCAGTCCCCTTCTGTCCCGTTCCCTCCCCTGCCCTGCCTAGGCCAATGCCCTCCCCCCGGAACCTCCTCCATTTGGATCAGTCCCCTTCTGTCCCGTTCCCTCCCCTGCCCTGCCTAGGCCAATGCCCTCCCCCCGGAACCTCCTCCATTTGGATCAGTCCCCTTCTGTCCCGTTCCCTCCCCTGCCCTGCCTAGGCCAATGCCCTCCCCCCGGAACCTCCTCCATTTGGATCAGTCCCCTTCTGTCCCGTTCCCTCCCCTGCCCTGCCTAGGCCAATGCCCTCCCCCCGGAACCTCCTCCATTTGGATCAGTCCCCTTCTGTCCCGTTCCCTCCCCTGCCCTGCCTAGGCCAATGCCCTCCCCCCGGAACCTCCTCCATTTGGATCAGTCCCCTTCTGTCCCGTTCCCTCCCCTGCCCTGCCTAGGCCAATGCCCTCCCCCCGGAACCTCCTCCATTTGGATCAGTCCCCTTCTGTCCCGTTCCCTCCCCTGCCCTGCCTAGGCCAATGCCCTCCCCCCGGAACCTCCTCCATTTGGATCAGTCCCCTTCTGTCCCGTTCCCTCCCCTGCCCTGCCTAGGCCAATGCCCTCCCCCCGGAACCTCCTCCATTTGGATCAGTCCCCTTCTGTCCCGTTCCCTCCCCTGCCCTGCCTAGGCCAATGCCCTCCCCCCGGAACCTCCTCCATTTGGATCAGTCCCCTTCTGCCCCATTCCCTCCCCCGCCCCTGCTCTGCCTAGGCCAATGCCCTCCCCCCGGAACCTCCTCCATTTGGATCAGTCCCCTTCTGTCCCGTTCCCTCCCCTGCCCTGCCTAGGCCAATGCCCTCCCCCCGGTACCTCCTCCATTTGGATCAGTCCCCTTCTGTCCCGTTCCCTCCCCTGCCCTGCCTAGGCCAATGCCCTCCCCCCGGTACCTCCTCCATTTGGATCAGTCCCCTTCTGTCCCGTTCCCTCCCCTGCCCTGCCTAGGCCAATGCCCTCCCCCCGGTACCTCCTCCATTTGGATCAGTCCCCTTCTGTCCCGTTCCCTCCCCTGCCCTGCCTAGGCCAATGCCCTCCCCCCGGTACCTCCTCCATTTGGATCAGTCCCCTTCTGTCCCGTTCCCTCCCCTGCCCTGCCTAGGCCAATGCCCTCCCCCCGGTACCTCCTCCATTTGGATCAGTCCCCTTCTGTCCCGTTCCCTCCCCTGCCCTGCCTAGGCCAATGCCCTCCCCCCGGTACCTCCTCCATTTGGATCAGTCCCCTTCTGTCCCGTTCCCTCCCCTGCCCTGCCTAGGCCAATGCCCTCCCCCCGGTACCTCCTCCATTTGGATCAGTCCCCTTCTGTCCCGTTCCCTCCCCTGCCCTGCCTAGGCCAATGCCCTCCCCCCGGTACCTCCTCCATTTGGATCAGTCCCCTTCTGTCCCGTTCCCTCCCCTGCCCTGCCTAGGCCAATGCCCTCCCCCCGGTACCTCCTCCATTTTCCCACACTTCTTGCCCACCACCAGGTCCTTGGTGTCGGGCAGGTTGAAGAGACACATCCCGCCTCCCTTCTGGAAGTAGCTCTGCAGCTGCCGCTTGCTGCAGGCGCTGAACACGCGGGGGAACGGGGGCCTGCGGAGGGCGGGGGGGACGCTGAAACAAGGGGAAACGGGGAGAAGGGAGCACACAGAGCCACGCCCGGAGGCCCGGATGCCTGGGAGTTGGGGAACGCAGGCTCGTCCATAGCCATGGGGTGAAATCCACCCCCGGGCACCACTCACGCTCTGTTTGCAGCAGCCCTGGGGCCAGGCGGCAGAGTGCGGAAGAGTAACGACCCATGGGGGACCAAAGCTCCCTCTCCCGGTATGCTCGGAGCCAGGGCTGGGGATGCCACAGCTGGTGGCGCCTACTGTGCACCCCGGTAGCGGGATGGAATCACACCCATCTCTGGAAATGTCCCCCGGATGCAGCAAGCTCCCCACCGACCCCCTGTTGCCTGGCCCCATTGCTCCCCATCCAGGGGGAAGGGGTCACTCTACAGGGAGCTACCACCCCCCATCTGCAAAACCCCATGCAGCCAGACCCCTCTGCCCCCTACACCCAGTCTCCCTCCTGCTAAGTCT